TTACTGAACATGATGGTTATGTTCAAATATGTTAATGCTGATCTTTTTTGGAATGATTTACAACAGTTTCTGTTATCAAAATTCTTTTCTATCTAATTTATTTTTTGACTTACAACCAGCTTTGCTTTAAAAAACCGACAAATTAAATCAAGTCTGATTTTTATCAATTTCGGCTACTTGATAACAAGAGTAAGCTAAAAATAGTTTATGGAAGAAGATTATTTGGTGATTTGGACATGTTTTCTGTTCAAGACATTTCGCATTGATTTTATGTTTTTAATTATTATTATCAATGTTTGATGAGAAATCGTTAATGTTAGTAACTGTAAATGTTAATGTTTTGTAAGTTGCTGAACATGATGGTTATGTTCAAATGTGTTAATGCTGATCTTTTTTGGAATGCTTTACAACAGTTTTTGTTATCAAGATTCATTTCTATCTAATTTAATTTTTGACTTACCTCCAGCTTTGCTTTAAAAAACCGACAAATTAAATCCTTTCTGATTTTATCAATTTCGGCTTTCTGATAATAAGAGTAAGCCAAAAATAGTTATGGAAGAAGATTATTTGGCGATTTGGACATGTTTTCTGTTATCAAAACACATTTCGCATCGATTTTAGTTTTTTAATTATTATCAATGTTTGATGTGAAATCGTTAATGATAGTAACTGTCATTGTTAATGTTTTGTGAGTTATTGAACATGATGGTTATGTTCAAATGTGTTAATGCTGATCTTTTTTGGAATAATTTAGAACAGTTTTTGTTATCAAAATTCATTTCTCTCTAATTTACTTTTTGACATACAACCAGCATTGTTTTGAAAAACCGACAAATTAAATCCTTTCTGATTTTATGATTTCGGCTACCTGATAATAAGAGTAAGCCAAGAATAGTTTTGGAAGAAGATTATTTGGTGATTTGGACATGTTTTCTGTTCAAAACATTTCGCATCGATTTTAGTTTTTTAATTATTATCAATGTTTGATGAGAAATCGTTAATGTTAGTAACTGTCATTGTTTATGTTTTGTAAGTTACTGAACATAATGGTTATGTTCAAATGTGTTAATGCTGATCTTTTTTGGAATGATTTACAACAGTCTTTGTTATCAAAATTCATTTCTATCTAATTTAATTTTTGACTTACAACCAGCTTTGCTTTAAAAAACAGATAAATTAAATCCTTTCTGATTTTACCATTTCGGCTACCTGATAATAAGAGTAAGCCAAAAATAGTTGTGGAAGAAGATTATTTGGTGATTTGGAAATGTTTTCTGTTATTAAGACATTTCGCATTGATTTTATTTTTTTAATTATTATCAATGTTTGTTGAGAAATCGTTAATGTTAGTAACTGTCATTGTTAATGTTTTGTAAGTTACTGAACATGATGATTATGTTCAAATATGTTAAAGCTGATCTTTTTTTGAATAATTTACAACAGTTTTTGTTATCAAAATTTATTTCTATCTAATTTACTTTTTGACTTATAACCAGCTTTGCTTTGAAAAACCGACAAATTAAATCCTTTCTGATTTTATGATTTCGGCTACCTGATAACAAGAGTAAGCCAAAAATAATTATGGAAGAAGATTATTTGGTGATTTGGAAATGTTTTCTGTTATCAAAACATTTCGCATCGATTTTAGTTTTTTAATTATTATCAATGTTTGATGAGAAATCGTTAATGTTAGTAACTGTCATTGTTTATGTTTTGTAAGTTACTGAACATGATGGTTATGTTCAAATATGTTAAAACTGATCTTTTTTGGAAAAATTTACTGTAGATTTTGTCATCAAAATTCTTTTCTATCCAATTTACTTTTTGACATACAACCAGCTTTGCTTTGAAAAATCAACAAATTTAATCCTTTCTGATTTTATCAATTTCGACTACCTGATAACAAGAGTAAGCCAAAAATACTTATGGAAGGAAATTATTTGGTAATTTGGAAATGTTCTCTGTTATCAAAACATTTCGCATCGATTTTAGTTTTTTAATTATTATCAATATTTGATGAGAAATCGTTAATGTTTATAACTGTCAAAGTTAATGTTTTGTAAGTTGCTGAACATGATGGTTATGTTCAAATGTGTTAATGCTGATCTTTTTTGAAATAATTTACAACATTTTTTGTTATCAGAATTCATTTCTATCTAATTTACTTTTTGACTTACATCAGCTTTGCTTTGAAAAACCGACAAATTAAATCCTTTCTGATTTTATCAATTTCGGCTACCTGATAACAAGAATAAGTCAAAAATAGTTATGAAGGAATAACTTTCCGTGAATTGGGAATGTTTTAATTTTTTAATTATTAATAAAACTCTGTAAGATTGTTAAATTTTTACATTAAACCAATTGTATTTCTTGTTAATTAAATAAAATAGTATTAATGACAAAAAAAGAGAATCTATATATAAAAATATCTATATTTAAGTTTAGTATCTTGTGAGTGGAAATCACCAACAAACACGCAGAAAAATGAAGAGGTAAGTAAAAAGAACTACGCAGAATTAAAAGCGTATGTCGCTATCTTTTGGTCGCATTTTGGCGACCGAACGTAAAGAGTTTGCCAAAAAAATCCCCATCGATATTTTGTTATCCAAAAAAACATCTCAAAAATTGCAACGTACAACAAATAATTTTCATAAAATCGCTTTGATCGTTCAAAAATTATTTTAAAATTCATTCTGAAATATATTAAATTTTGTTCCTGTTAACGTGTTTTATAAATACACATCACACCGGTGACAAGATAAAAATAGTTTTTACAGTTTCACTCAACTTCTTCTATAATGTTATTATTTTCTCAAACTGAAATCATCTTTAAATTAAAAACAACAATAATGCTAATGCGTTTACACGGAAATAGAAAACTTTTAATAATTACCTGTTAAAATTATGAATTCTTTTTTCGGTTCACATTTATTTTGAATTTTCACGACATGTAACGATTTAAAACGAGAAGAGACGCGTTCTGCACAATGGAAAAAGGTCGCGTGTCGCGAAACGCCTCATGGCGCCTACTGACGTTCAGCGTCGCGACGCTCGAAATTTATAACATTTTAAAAGAGGCGCACGCAACCTCTGTGTTCTACTTTGTTATTTCGGCGAAAATTAAGCAATTTTCTCCGAAAATGGAATACTTCGAAACTTTAATTTTATTCTAACATAATTTTGTTACTTTATAAACTGTTATTAAGTTATTTAAGTAAAGTGCTTTTAATACAAGTTTCAAACAAAAATACATTTATAAAATAATTTTGTTTAATACCCTTTCAATCATTTATTAAAACTTACTTTAATATATTTGCTGTATATATTTGGTTATTTCTTATTATAATTTGTTATTACAATGTTAATTACACAAAAATAAGTAATAATAAGTTTTAATATTGAAATCGTGTGAAAGCAGTTGAGGAAATTAACTAATCCATTTATAACATATACTTAATTTCAAAAACTATAAGAAATTATAGCTCATTCTCAGTTAAGAAAACTTAAAAATTTGTTTATGACTTTTTCTTTCATAATTACTTTGTAAAATCACTCATGTATACAAAATTAGTTTTATAGAGGATGATGTTAGAGCTATTCTACAATAGCACACTAGTGTCCTTGATCTGTAGAGCTCTTAATCCATCAAGCAAATTGCACCGCAATATGAAATTTGAGTTACTGCTGCACACATTGTATACAATATATGTACATAACAAGAGAGGGGATGGGAAGACGATATTGCTAATATTTCTTACTCTTGCGTTCCTTCGTTTTCCGGATATACCAGATGTACGAAACGGCACTTTATCTTTGTAATGTGGGGACAATCAACGTCATTTTTATCATTAACATAACAAATTAAGAATTTTAAAACAAAGTTAGCTCCCAATTATATATAGGATTTTACATGTATAATGTTTTCATTATAACAAGTGAACCTCTCTGGCTGAAAGCGGTTGTCGAAATGCCCGATTCGAAATTTTGAAGGATTTTGATTAAAACACAAAAACTTATTAATCAAACATTAATTGTCTCCTTTATTTATGAAAGTATGATCCAAGGTGAATACGAAGATGGAAATGCTCGATCTCTAAATTTAATAAAACCCTCTATGGGCCCGTGTAACTTTCAGGTCACATTTTAATTTATCGACATTTTACCAAATAATTTTAGCTTTTTTCATGAGATGGCGCATAAATCTTAATTCTATAAAGTACCGCGGTTTGTCGCCATTTTGGCTCGAAAATCAAGCGGGAAATTTAAAACTATGTCGTTCTATTGATAACATTACGCCAAAATTCCTTTCTTTTCTCTCGTGGTACTCTGAAGAATCGAAAGCCCTTCTTACTGCTATTTTTGTAACTCCAAAGGCAACAAGACTGCAATATTTTTGTAAATAAGTGGTGAGATGCAGTGACATGTTGTCAAACCGCCATTTTGGCTCGAAAACAAGCGTCATGAACCGCGGTACTTTGTAAATCTAGGGACTTTAAATTCTATAACGTTGGCAAGACAACCAATGTTAATATTTATGACAGGTGTCAGACTTGTCAACCTGAAATAACAAAGTAAATGCTGTGCAAACTGTCTGCAGGAAAAATAAGCGAAACCATTTGATCGAATTGATTTTATTTGTGCTTATGTTATTGATTACCAAACTAAAAATAGTGCACATCATATATCTGGGTTCGTATACCAATAGCAACCTATAATTCTTTTTTTTTCTATAATACCTGTCAAATTGTTGTAAAGTTGGCAAAATTAACAGGGAGTTTTGTTTTATCATGTTTTGAAATAAATATGTCATAATTGACATTTGTTTGAAAATTCGATATTCAAAAAATTAAGTAATTTAAAATTAAAGTAAAATGAACGCAAGAAAAAAACGCAATTTATTAGGAGTCGAACTAAAACGAGCAGTACTAAGGTGCAAATTGAACTTACAGATTTGAAGCCTAATTCATTATTCATTTCCCGATCTTGAAACTGGTTGTGCGATGTCGTCTAGCCCGTGCGGTGGGTGTGGCCAAAAAGTCGGGCGAAATGCGGGCGGCATGCAGTGCGAGTCTTGCAGCGTATGGTTTCACAGCAAGTGCACGGACATCCCCAAGGGGTCCGTTGCCGCGCTTAGCATACCCGGCGCGTCGTGGAGATGTAAAGTCTGTCGATCACCCGAATCCAGACGCAGATCGTCTCTTTTCTGTCCGCCTCCTGCTGCTCCTCCTGTACCCTCCTTACCTGCCGCTACTCTGGAATCTGTCCTGGATGCGGTCAGGGAAATTCGCTCTGATTTGAAGACACTGAACAGCAGATATGCGGATTTAGTGGAATCTGTACAGTTCTGCAGCAATAAAGTATCGGAGTTCGAGGGTGTTATAGGCAGGCTTCATAATCAATTCAAACTTGTTGAAAAAATCACTGCTGAAAACGTCACGCTAAAAAGAGAGGTCGTTGATTTAACTAGTCGTGTTTCAGAATTGGAACAATATTCCAGGCGCAGCAACCTCGAAATACAAGGTATTCCTCAGAAGAACAACGAGGATCTGGTGAAGGTTCTCTCTTCAATTGGTGAATCCTTGGATGTCTCCATCTCACCTTCCGAAGTCGATGCGATCCATCGGGTTCCTCAAGGTCCCGGCAGAGCTTCCAACTCGGACCCGAAAGCAATTGTGGTTCGTTTTTGTAGCCGCATTGTTCGCGATCAGCTTCTTGCTGCCGCCAAGTTGCGGAGACGATCGGCTCCGAAGGATTCTGGCCCTGGTTTGTCCATTGATGGGATTTCGGATAAACTTTTTATCAATGAGCATCTTACCCAAGCGAATAAAATCCTCTTTGGGAGAACCAAGAAGATGGCCAGGGAGAAGAAGTACAAATATGTATGGATTCGTGACTGCAAAATATTTGTGAGGAAGGGGGATGACTCACGTCCCATCTTAATAAGATCCACAGGTGACATTGATAAGCTTTAATTTGTTAAGCTTTCATTTGTCACTTGTCTCATCTCTTTCATTATAAATTACTTGTTAATGTTCAATGGCTCCTCTTTCGTATTACTACCAAAACGTGCGAGGTCTTCGCACTAAGCTGGTTGATATGCATAACTGCCTTTTAAATACAGACATAGACGTGATTTGTTTAACTGAAACCTGGCTTCNCGATGCAAGAAATACTAAAGTATATGCAACTTATTTTACGTTTTTCGTAGTAATACGTTAGGGCGCGTATAGTAAAATTTAAATTTTTATGAATGCCGACACGTAAGTCACCCTGCCATCTAGGCATCACAACCACGAACTAAATTCTTTGGATAACTACGTATATCTGTAAACAAGGTCGAAACTTACGTGTCGCCATTCATAAAAATTTAAATTTTACTATACGCGCCCAAACGTATTACTACGACAATCGTAAAATAAGTTGCATATATTTTAGTATTTCTTGCATAGAAAAGAATCGATAATGTGTCCTTCGAAAATAATACCGAATTGTTGGAGACTATTCGTCGGTAGATACCGATTTGTAGACGCCAAATTTTTTAAGTAGTTAGTATCTTTTTAAGAAGTTTGTTTAAAAGACTATATTTAATATACCGAGTAAGGCATTCAAATTGAGACTACCTAATAACTCATAAAACATCAATTTTATCAAAAAAGTTTCAGGTAAAACTTTCATCGTATAAAGGAGGAAAGTATTCTGAACGATTTTTATTGCATTATAGAAGCGCCATCAATATTTTTCAATTGTTAAGTATGCTTTTCAAGGGGTACATGTTTTTTCTAAGAAAGGGCCAATTGAAAAGTTGCCTTTAATCTCACACAATATATTAACTGCCCAACGTCGTTAGTAATTCATTTCACGTAACCAATAAGAATTTTCTAGTAACCAATAAAGCATACTTGTATTCAATGACAAAATGAAATTGGCTTTTGGATATCATTCTCCTGATGCTCTTGATACAAAGAGCGTACGGGTGAAATTTATGACAATATAAAAATCTAAGTACTAAGAAATTACTCGAGTAGAAATATATGGATTATTACGAAGAGCAGCTCAAACATTGAATTTCTTGTACCGCCTTTTTCTCTCTTGAAGATCTTACACAAGATTGGATGTTCCTGTCTAGAAATCTTTGTTCGAATAAATTTTGGGCAACATTAATATCTCTGACTGCTCCATAAACAAAAGTCATTTTAGTTTTTTCAGCAATTTTTCCATGCATAATTAAAATAAAGTTACTATTTTACAACATAAGTAATTTGTAATTTACAATTATAAGTAGTTAGCAGAATTTGTTGTTTTTTGTTATTCTGTATTCTTATTATTATTTACATATAAATGTAATATATAAAATGGATTTTTCCAACTTTACTTCTTAATCAGCATAGGATATTGTGCTGATATAATATTATAAACGTGGTGGTGGCGTTTTGATTGAGTAGCATCTTCCCTGTCTGTCCTTCCGCAATCAACATGATTTGTGGACCTTGAGGCAGTGTGTGTTACTCTACGGACCGGTTCTATTACTTTACACATTTGCTGCGTTTATATTCCTCCTTCTGATCAAAATGCATTGCTTAATTTTATTAATGAAATTAATTTAATCATTGAAGACCACCCTAACGACAAATTCTTGATTTGTGGCGATTTTAACCTAGCTGAAATTCGGTGGTCGACCGATCTTGCAACCGGTGCCTCCACTTCTTCTGCTCGTTCGAGTGAGTTTCTGGATGCCCTCGCCTTATGCGGTCTCAACCAATTCAATTTTCACAGGAATGCCTTTCAGAACACTTTCGACTTAATTTTTGCTAATTTTTCTAATATCTTCTATTTCATTAAGCACTCATCCTCTAATCCCTGAAGATAGTGCTCACAACACGTTAGAATTGTTTTACTCGTTTGAAATGCCACACCGTCTTCCCACTGAATTTTCTAACGTGTTTAACTTCAGACGTGCTAATTTCTCTGACATTGATTCGTACCTGTCTACTATTAACTGGGATACAGAGCTAAATACTGCCACAAAAAGTTTTAACACCGATATAAAACAATATTTTATCGAGCATTATTGTAAGACAATCGCTGGTATGTAATTAGATAATGCTTTATCAACGTCGCGAGGGAACGACGACCTGCCCGATGGCGGGGGGCGCCTCGGAAGAATACCAGTGATTGTCCGGTAGTTGGGAGTAAGAAGCGGTTAAGTTCGGTGGAATAAAAAGATTTAAAAGTTATTTGTGATACCGTTTTTGATTTCCAACCCGAATATCTTCCCGACGTCCGGAATACTAAGCCCCCAATACGAAACACGGTAAGTACCTTAACTATTATATTCATATTAGAAGGGTTGGCTAGCGTTGGTACCTCCGCAATAAGAATTCAAGCGAGTAGCTAGGAGCACTACCCCCCTGAACCAAGGGCGAAACGTAACAATACTCGTGAAGTAGACCCTGCTGTTGATTTCTTTTATTACCATTTAAATTTTGCCATTCAAAAATTTACTCCGATCAAGCGCAAATTCACTAGTGGTTTTCCGATGTGGTTTTCGCGAGATACTATCAGAGTGATCAGAGAAAAGCGAAGGGCTCATGTTAAGTGGAAACGGTATGGAAAACAAATAGATTATTTGACTTTTTCATTATTGCGAGGGCGTTCTAAGTTTCTCATTCGGCGCGACTATGGGAGGTATGTTGGTGGCGTCGAGAGCAGTATTAAAGCTAATCCTAAATACTTTTGGTCTTATATTAAAAACAAGAAAGGTGCGGATACAATTCCTACACCTATGACATTAAATGGGGCTGTTGCCGGGGACGGTAAGGGTGTCTGCTCGCTTTCAAATCCGGTAGTCGTAACCTTATATCTAACTATCGCCCTATATCTATATTGTCTGTGTTTGGTAAGGTTTTAGAGAAACTGGTTTATACCAGACTCTGGTTTTTTTGCGAATCGGTCAGTGGAGAGCAACCTGCTTGAATACACAAATTATATTTTAACATCATTTGACCAATATTGTCAAGTTGATTCTGTTTACACCGATTTTAGCAAGGCTTTTGATCGTGTGGATCACAGCCTTCTTTTATCAAAACTTCATGGTTATGGTGTTCATGGTGGGTTGTTCCGCTGGTTTGATTCATATTTGCGAGGTAGGAGCCAGATTGTGTCTGTTAACGGATATTGCTCTGTCATTCCCCTATGTCAGTTCCCTCGGGTGTCCCTCAAGGTAGCCACCTCGGACCCTTGCTATTTAATCTTTATGTTAACAATATTTTCAAGGGTGTGAAGCATTGTGAATGTCTAATGTACGCAGATGATCTCAAGCTTTATCTGCGTATCTCCTCTCCGATGGACTGCTCTAGAATGCAGACTGACCTTCTCAGGATTTCTGACTTTTGCACTAAAAACCACTTGACCCTAAATCTGTTTAAATGTAATGTTATTTCTTTTTCGAGAAGGAAGAATACTGTTCATTACGATTACAACATCGCTAGCGAAAACTTAACACGTGTTTCCTTTATTAGAGACCTTGGAGTGACTCTCGATTCCAAGCTTCTCTACACACAGAACATTGACACTACTGTTAATTAATCTTGGCGTATGCTCGGTTTCATTATGAGATCCACCTCTTTCTTTGTAAGCGTTGACGCGATTAAAAATTTATATTTCGCATATGTTTACAGTATTCTTAATTTTTGCACTGTAGTTTGGAATCCCCAATACCTTATTTATATTGACCGAATTGAAAAAATTCAATCTAGATTTTTGAAATATTTAACCATTAAGTCTTCCATACCTTATATTAATTATCATTCGTCTTGCAGATCTTTTCGATTAATGCCCCTTCGACAGCGTCGCCTGTGTAACGACGTGTTATTCTTCTACAAGTAAACAAATTTGCGTTTCAGAAACATTTCTGATACATATTATTGAAACATGAAACGTTTCTTCGACATATTTCTGAAACATAGATGAAACGTGTCTGAAACTGCTAATGTCCGACCCTTTTTATGTTTTATTGAAACGTTTCAATTGTTACTTACCGCCTACTGTACCAAATTTCAAAATTATCAGTCAATAATTTCTACTATTCTGTTTTCTCATTGATTAGGACATATAGAGTAAGTATAAGAGTAGGTATGCATTAAATATATTTAGTAAATATGTATACAAAATATATTAAAATGGTAACTAAAATAAAATTCTTATTTGTAAAGAAATTAAACATAAACATTCCAATAATTTATGTAGGTCATTTAAATATAAAGTTAAATTTAGGTCATATTAGTGGTATTTTTAATTATTTTTACTTCTGTTTATATATGAATAACCGAAAGAATTTTTTTTTCTCAAACGAAACATTGTTAATTGAAACAATACACATATATTTGTGATGTTTCGCCAGAGATCCCCAGCTTCTTCAGACTACAAATAAAGAATACCTATAATATATTTAATAATAATAATTATAATAATATATTTAACATTTTTTTTTATCTTAGTTATTGGAGATATCACATGTTGTAAAATTCTTTTTATGANAGTATTAAAGCTAATCCTAAATACTTTTGGTCTTATATTAAAAACAAGAAAGGTGCGGATACAATTCCTACATCTATGATATTAAATGGGGCTGACCTTAATGATACTACATGTTTGGGTCCGATGCGCTTTGAGCGGTCTGAGGTTGAGGAAGCTCTTATTGCTTTAAACATAAATAATGCTCCAGGCACTGATGGTATTCCTCCTATCCTAATAAAATCATGTTTTGCATCTCTTTCTCTACCACTTTCCATCTTATTTAACAAATCTGTAAAGGAAGGTACGTTTCCTGCCTTTTGGAAACGTGCATATATTTTGCCCATTTTCAAATCCGGTAGTCGTAACCTTATATCTAACTATCGCCCAATATCTATATTGTCAGTGTTTGGTAAGGTTTTAGAGAAACTGGTTTATACCAGACTCTTCTTTAGGCTTAAATCCATAATCGATCCTAGACAACATGGCTTTTTTGCGAATCGGTCAGTGGAGAGCAACCTGCTTGAGTACACAAATTATATTTTAACATCATTTGACCATTATTGTCAAGTTGATTCTGTTTACACCGATTTTAGCAAGGCTTTTGATCGTGTGGATCACAGCCTTCTTTTATCAAAACTTCATGGTTATGGTGTTCATGGTGGGTTGTTCCGCTGGTTTGATTCATATTTGCGAGGTAGGAGCCAGATTGTGTCTGTTAACGGATATTGCTCTGACCCTATGTCAGTTCCCTCGGGTGTCCCTCAGGGTAGCCACCTCGGACCCTTGCTATTTAATCTTTATGTTAACGATATTTTCAAGGTTGTGAAACATTGTGAATGTCTAATGTACGCAGATGATCTCAAGCTTTATCTGCGTATCTCCTCTCCGTTGGACTGCTCTAGACTGCAGACTGACCTTCTCAGGATTTCTGACTTTTGTACTAAAAACCACTTGACCCTAAATCTGTCTAAATGTAATGTTATTTCTTTTTCGAGAAGGAAGAATACTGTTCATTACGATTACAACATCGCTGGCGTAAACTTAACACGCGTTTCCTTTATTAGAGACCTTGGAGTGACTCTCGATCCCAAGCTTCTCTACGCACAGCACATTGACACTACTGTTAATAAGGCTTGGCGTATGCTCGGTTTCATTATGAGATCCACCTCTTCCTTTGTAAGCGTTGACGCGATTAAAAATTTATATTTCGCATATGTTTACAGTATTCTTAATTTTTGCACTGTAGTTTGGAATCCCCAATACCTTATTTATATTGACCGAATTGAAAAAATTCAATCTAGATTTTTGAAATATCTAAACTTTAAATCTTCCATACCTTATATTAATTATCATTCGTCTTGCAGATCTTTTCGGTTAATGCCCCTTCGACAACGTCGCCTGTGTAACGACACATTATTCTTCTACAAGGTTTTACACAATATGTGTGATTCCACAGTTCTTTTGAATTCGGTCAATATTCATGTTCCTCCCCGTCTTCTTCGTTTTAATTTCTTGTTCTGTACGCCTATTCCGCGCACCAATGCTTTTCGAAACTCCCCTATGTTGCGAATGGCTCGTCAGGCTGATAAGCTCGATATTGATTTGTTTCAGCATTCATTTTCTACGTTTAGGCGCTTACTTTTTAATGCAGTCAGCGAATTGCCTCTTTCGTTTTGGTAGCTCGTTGGTTCTGTTTTTGTATAATGTTTAATTTCGCCGTTACTATTGCTATTAGGCATTGTTTTATTTTATTTTACTTTTTTACAAAATATACTCCATCATGTTGCTTAAGCATGTTCTGAATCCTAAATTGATATCCCAAAAATCGAGTGTTCTCTGATTTTTTGAACAAATGTCTGCTGTAAAATTGCAAAAAGTAAAGTCATTCATAAACCTTGAAAACAGACAAATCCAAATATGTAAAAATATACAGGGTGTTCCATTTAAAAATATCTGAAAATATTTTAGTCGAAGAGAACGCAATTGATAATACTTAAATCTAAATTTTCAAATTTTTATTTTGGCCAGAACCCTGTAAAGTTCTAATGGACGGTCATCGTGGATGATCCTGTATAGTGCATCTAGTATAAGATAGGTTTCGCTTAGTTGCTCTTAAACCCACCGTTTCATACTTTAAGATCAAAGTTTTTATACGTCGCTTTAAACTTCGTCTTCAGTAGGGTCATTACTGATCCACTAAAGTAAAATGATGACTTTGGGATATGATCAATATTGATTATAATCCGCTTGACGTTTGCTTATATCGCAACGGTAAACGTTCAAAATTCTGATTTGCTTTGAAAACTGAAGACGTTGACGTTCTTATCTGCAATATAAATATCGAATCGTTATTATTTAATGTTGTTTATAACTTTATATATCGTATCATAAGATGATATATCACAAAAAGTTTATAAGATGGTGCTACTATCTAATAATTTCAACTTAAAATTAAAAATATCTTCCATGACAATATCAACTTCTTCAAAAAGACCAAGTTTTTTGTAATACACAGTAATTTCTAACCTAATTTGATATGTCACTTCTATATATGACATTAAACTTCGCTTTTAAAAGCATAGTTGGCCCAATTTATTCGTGTGCCATCTTGATTTTATAAAAAAATACCGATACTTGGGCGTTATCATACCTAGATATGTCGTGTTTGGACTCATTTTAAATGTTTTTTAATTATCTAGCGCTTTCTAAACATCTTGAAAAGTTATGAAATGTCTTATAGTCAACAGCTTTTGTCCTGGGGCGGAAAAATGACAGTTTGCGAGGCCTCTCAGATTGTTACTGCTGTTAGTCTGCAAAATCCTTGCAGAATTGCAACGTAGAATGCGAGATAGCTTTATCAAGCCCGAAAGTTTATGATATTCGTTAAAAATTGCTACTCTTGACGGCGCTTTTAAAAATACTTAACTCACATTGGCGACAAGACGGTCGACGTTACTGTACATACCTCGAATTTGCTCACAAACTCGATGAGGTACGTGTGCAAGACAAGTTAAGTGTGTCAATTTTGGATAAAAATTAAAAACTGCGGATGCGATGATATCAATAAAAATTATCCATAATACATCACAAAGACATAATCTATAAGCTATTTCTTTCCAATGATTTCGTGTTTTACGTTAGATAACTATAATATCCCAAAATCGCTAAATTGATATTTGCAAACAGTTTTTATGACATCTGTAAAACTAAATATGCTAGAAAAGAAGGTTATGGACGAAAATGATGTATAATGGACCATCACAACATTATCCGTAGGCATCTATAACTTAACTATGTTTATTAACGAATCAGCGCATTGAATGCCCAGAACATTTAAGATTTGACACTTTCAGCAAAAGAACGGCTTTTGTGTTAAAAATTAAAAACTGCGGATGCGATGATATTAATAAAAGTTAACCATAATACATCACAAAGACATAATCCATAAGCTATTTCTTTTCAATCGATTAGTATTTTACGTTAGATAACCATAAGATCCTCAAATCGCCAAATTGATGTTTTCAAACAATTTCTCCACAAGTAACTCTAAAACTCTTCAATTACTTGGAGCTCCAAATGTATGTATTTTAACAAAGATATCACAAATACTTTAACATCTGCGATAGGGATCCAAAGATGACAAAGAAATATTTTCTAAATAAACGTTTGTCTAAAATTACAAAATTGATTACTCTCTGATTTGATCTGACAATGAGTCCGGTATTGAAAGTACATTTTAATTTTAAATATTTATTACTTTTAAAAATTATATAAAAAAAAAATGTTAAAATCATTTTAAATACAAAATTAAACTTAAAAATTACTGTTCCGTTAATATTTGGAAATCATGTGTGGGGTAACTGTTCCCATCATCCCTCCAAACTGTCAAACCTGTGTATTTAGCATTCGGTGGAAACACTTTGCCGATTTTCCATTCACCCTCATGGAAAACTTTTCCAATATAAAGCGTGTACCCGATTTCAAATCCTCCAACGACGCATTTATCCAAGAATTTCGCATCTAGTTGATTCGTGTTTACGAATTTCCATTTTAAAGCGCTAGGTTTAGGGGAACATAATACCTAAAAAAATGAATAATAATACTGTTATAATAAAAATGTGATAAATTGTTAAGAAAATAAATTTTTACTTTAATATTATTTAGAAATTCAAGTCTTTTCCCTGATGCTGCAGACACAGCAACTTTCTTATATTGATATAAAGTTCCTGGAATATTTCCACCACTTGCAAGAATTACTTGGGCAATATAAGTTCCATTATCGGTAGGAACTGCGTCGTTTGGAATTGTTCCTTTATAATCTCTCCAATACACATCAGCATCTAAAATTAATTTTTTTATAATTTTATGTTAATCCAAAATTTTTTAACTTACTTCCACAAGAAACAAAGATTCCTTGCACACATACCACAACGAAAATTAGTAAGTAATTCGTTAATAACCGCGACATTTTCGTAAACGAACACTTCAAACGTTGAATTGTTAATACAACAGACAATCCTAATGGATTGTCTCGGCTTTTATACACATTCAGGTCTTTCAAATAATATGTAAATAAGCACAAGTTTTAATCTCAAAATGGGAAAAGATGCAAATTTCTACTAAGAAATTCCAATCAAGTTGACACAACTTAAAATATTACTTTATTTATTATTAGTATTTTAAGCACAAAACCCGTTCTGTTATTGAAAAGGCCAAATTTTAAATGTTTTGGACATTAAAAAATAAAATTAAATTAAATTATTTTAAAAGATAAAACAAGTAGATGTAATACCAACAACAATTTTTGACTTCAATTAGTATTAACGAAAAAAAAAAGTAAAATAAATTAGCCATAACAGACATTGAATTCCATTTTTGATAAGAGTAAGAATGACAAAATTTTATACACCGATGAAATAGTATACCTAGTCATTGTAAATCTACGTCTTAAATTTTAGTTGTGAACGTCTGTTCTAAACCTTATTCTATTTACTAAATAAGGAGGCTTCCTTGAGTGAATAATCCTGTAAATTAGACATAAATATTGCACAAGGAACTTTATCTCATACTCCATCTGCTAGACAACAACACAGGTGAAATATGGTCTCTACGCCTAACGCCGCACAGTGGTCCACAAGCGGTAAAATGTGAACGAAAATCAAATTTTCGAAATTTTTTTTTCTTTTTTTTTACATGTTACATGCACTTTAGGTCCTAATAAACTAACAGGGGAAAGGAATAAAGTCTTATGTACTTTCTAGTGCCAACTGTACGCAATAAAACAGTACTACAATTCTTGTGTATTAAATATCATAAAATGCTACAACTTTAGATGAAGAAAATATATTGTGTTCCACTTTTTCAAGACAATGCGTTGTTGCTATCTTGAACAGTATAGAAAGATCTTCATTTGGCACTTTTCTAATTTTTAAAATATTTTTGCAGAAATATGTAATAAGCACTTCTTTTAAAGCCAATTAACACCTACTTGAAGTTACAACCAAATGTTTTAACATATATATCTCGCAGAAGACGCAAAAAGAACTTTTGTCGCTAGAATATTCTTATTCTTTGAGATGTGCTCTATATAACATGATAACCACATCTTGCTTTAACTTGCTCCTTACCAAGATATCAGCGATCAAAGATGATCAGTGCCTGAGTGTGTTATTTGACTGTTTTCATATAAAATGCTTATATTCTTTTTTTTAAAAGGTAAATCTCGTATATTTGGTGTAAACCCGCATAACAATAATAGAATACCAGACTTAAAGTTTCAGGCATATCTAACAACCGGAAGTGATTGGTAGATACAGTGCGGCAAAAAACTGGAACACTTGAAATATCTACTTTTTTTTATAAGTACGAAGGTTTTCACGGCCGGAGTTAATTGAACTAAAATTAGAACTAAAACACTTCGCCAGTTTCTGAAGAAGGTTGCAACATGGCATCCGACACGTCAAACCTTTTCTTAAAAGACGCACGGCAAAACCCGAAAGATTCTAGTGTTAGTTGATGAACGGTAAAGCTAGAAGGTTTTAAGTTTGGTTTGTCTGTTCTCCATGCATACATTCGGTTTTTTGTGTGTCTGCTTCACATTTCATATAGATTAGAAATTAGAACTTGGAAGGTGACTGGTTTATATGTACTTTTATTAAATTATCATCAGAGATTTCATTAAACAGTGGGTACAATATTAATTGCAATGAATTTGATAAATACTGTTTCAAAACTGCCGAAAAGTACGTCCATTTTATGGTTGGTACTATATGCCAATTNATACATGGCATTTTTATTATTTAACTAAACTTAAAATAATTTGCAATAAGTAGTAGTATAATCTTCATTGCCTGTGAATCAATCGCCTGTGAATACCAAATTGTAGAGTTCTGCTGATTCATACATGTGTAGTCGTTCGTGGAACTTTTTGATTTTCGTTTGAAATAAACTCTTGAATTGTTTTAATGGTATTTAATTCCCAATTCGTTGTGTACACAGGAAAAAATATAGAGTAAAAATCAACTCTAAAACATGGTTCAGATCGGTCCAATTTATTTAGAGTTATTTTTTTGCACTATATAGTGTAGGTGAATAGATTAAAAATTTACACTAAATAGTGAGAAGATGGTGTTTATTAAATAGTGTAAAATCGTTACTCTATAACAGTGTATTATATGTAATCTAACTAGATGTTGTCGTGACTCTAATTAGATACATTTCTAATCTAATCAGTGTAAATTATTAAAAATTCGCTCTAATTTTACTCTATTAATTGACAAAATATCACTAAATNAGATTAAAAATTAGAACTTGGAAGGTGACTGGTTCATACGTACTTTTACTAAATTATCATCAGAGATTTCATTAAACAGTGGGTACAATATTAATTGCAATGAATTTGATAAATACTGTTTCAAAACTGCCGAAAAGTACGTCCATTTTATGGTTGGTACTATATGCCAACCAGCGTTCATAAAATTTTGATACATGGATCTTCAGTCATTAAAGAACCTCTACTACCTATTAGAGAGTTGTCGGAAGAAGCGCAAAAAGCTAATAACAAAAAATCTGAAAATTTAGAGAGAGCCACACAAGGAAATGTAGTAGTCTGGATACGAACGAAGATCTATTTAAAAGACTGCTACTCAGCTCAGATCCATTTATAAGTAATTTTCAACAGCACATTTCTATAAAACATAAAAAGATGAGTATGGAGACTAAAAGATTACTTATAATAGGCAATGTAGAAGACCAGGAAGAAGAAAAAGATTGTGAAGAAGAAGGTGAATATGACGAAGAACAAGAATCAGAACAAGAGCTATATGAGGCAGGATGCAAGGAAGATGAAGATGACGAAGAATGGTCTGAAACAGAACAAGAAGAAACACACATTGTTAAGCAACGTAGATAATTTATAGAGAATTAAATTCCCTTTCTGATAGGCTAAAAAAGCATGGTGCGTTCCATTTAAAATTTTCTACTTTCTCGCCATTGAAAATGGAGAAACAATAATTCAATTTTTGACCACCCTGTATAAGATACTCCGATACAACAAATGACAATCTATTTGACAGCATCTGAAGAATAATCGTACCAATTTAGACCTTTTTTGAATGAACGTTGGCTGAGATATGGGGTTTTAAANTTGTTTTATATTTTTTGTATAATTTTCATTTGGTTTGCGTCTCTGTATGTATTTTTTCTGGCTTATATTGCGCTGATATTTCTGTTTGATTTCTTTATGTCAATGTTGTGATGCAGTATTATAGGGTTTGTCCCGTTCTGTATCCATTTGTATAAATAAATAAATAAATAAATATAAATAAATAAATAAAAGACTTATTAAGACTTACTAAAAGACGCACGGCAAAATCCGAAAGTTTCTAGTGTTAGTTTTAGTTTTAGTTCCAATTTTAGTTTAATATAAGCTACTTCTTTCCAATGATTTCGTGTTTTACGTTAGATAACTATAATATCCCAAAATCGCTAAATTGATATTTGCAAACAGTTTTTATGACATCTGTAAAACTAAATATGCTAGAAAAGAAGGTTATGGACGAAAATGATGTATAATGGACCATCACAACATTATCCGTAGGCATCTATAACTTAACTATGTTTATTAACGAATCAGCGCATTGAATGCCCAGAACATTTAAGATTTGACACTTTCAGCAAAAGAACGGCTTTTGTGTTAAAAATTAAAAACTGCGGATGCGATGATATTAATAAAAGTTAACCATAATACATCACAAAGACATAATCCATAAGCTATTTCTTTTCAATCGATTAGTATTTTACGTTAGATAACCATAAGATCCTCAAATCGCCAAATTGATGTTTTCAAACAATTTCTCCACAAGTATCTCTAGAACTCTTCAGTTACTTGGAGCTCCAAATGTATGTATTTTAACAAATATATCACAAATACTTTAACATCTGCGATAGGGATCCAAAGATGACAAAGAAATATTTTCTAAATAAACGTTTGTCTAAAATTACAAAATTGATTACTCTCTGATTTGATCTGACAATGAGTCCGGTATTGAAAGTACATTTTAATTTTAGATATTTATTACTTTTAAAAATTATATAAAAAAAAATGTTAAAATCATTTTAAATACAAAATTAAACTTAAAAATTACTGTTCCGTTAATATTTGGAAATCATGTGTGGGGTAACTGTTCCCATCATCCCTCCAAACTGTCAAACCTGTGTATTTAGCATTCGGTGGAAACACTTTGCCGATTTTCCATTCACCCTCATGGAAAACTTTTCCAATATAAAGCGTGTACCCGATTTCAAATCCTCCAACGACGCATTTATCCAAGAATTTCGCATCTAGTTGATTCGTGTTTACGAATTTCCATTTTAAAGCGCTAGGTTTAGGGGAACATAATACCTAAAAAAATGAATAATAATACTGTTATAATAAAACTGTGATAAATTGTTAAGAAAATAAATTTTTACTTTAATATTATTTAGGAATTCAAGTCTTTTCCCTGATGCTGCAGACACAGCAACTTTCTTATATTGATATAAAGTTCCTGGAATATTTCCACCACTTGCAAGAATTACTTGGGCAATATAAGTTCCATTATCGGTAGGAACTGCGTCGTTTGGAATTGTTCCTTTATAATCTCTCCAATACACATCAGCATCTAAAATTAATTTTTTTATAATTTTATGTTAATCCAAAATTTTTTAACTTACTTCCACAAGAAACAAAGATTCCTTGCACACATACCACAACGAAAATTAGTAAGTAATTCGTTAATAACCGCGACATTTTCGTAAACGAACACTTCAAACGTTGAATTGTTAATACAAAAGACAATCCTAATGGATTGTCTCGGCTTTTATACACATTCAGGTCTTTCAAATAATATGTAAATAAGCACAAGTTTAATTTCAAAGTGGGAAAAGATGCAAATATCTACTAAGAAATTCCAATCAAGTTGACACAACTTAAAATATTACTTTATTTATTATTAGTA